TTCTTGGTTTTAGTTAGCCCGCGAAAACTTCCGCTCATCGGTCTACTGTTGAAGTTTTACGTAGACTGATGACTGAAAGCGAGGACATCCGATACACATAATTTTTTTTAGAACTTTTTGATTGGTAACTTACAAATAAATAATTACTACAAATAAATAATTTTCCAAAAATTTGTCAAGTCCACAGTCTATGTGGTGCTTAGCCAACGGTCAGCTCCCCCATAATTCGAGGGTGCTCATTCGGGTGCGAACGCAGATTGTGACTGAGATAGCCGCTCGCAGGACGGACGGGCAAACGCTTTGACATTTTTATATGAACGTGAATATAATTGTTTTACAAATATAGTATATTGAAAAATGTACCTTCTTCTTTCTCCTGCCCTTATAGGTTGGGGAACAACATATGAATCATAGCGCTAATGGTGTTGGTTAGGTTTTTTACGACCAGCAGGCTGCCTGACGTCACCCCTCCATAGGAACATATATCCAGTTCCGGAATCTTTGGGTCACAAAAACACCCATGTGGGAATAGAACTCACAACTCTCGGCTGAAAAATTTGCAGCATCTAACACGTAGATCTTTGTGTTTTCTATAAATTAAAAAAAAATAAGAACCTCGTCAAAAATCACATATATATATACTTATACATATATAGTATAGTGCCGTGTATATAACAGAAGACCAGTGTGAAAAACAAGTAGTTAATATTTAATACATTTTTACCTATTGAGTGAGGTAATCGGGGCCGACTATCAAGGTTGGGAACGCATCTGCTAACCCACAAGTGTCGTAGAAATCCAAGGGCATCGGTCATCACTTAACATCAGGTGAACCCAGGCGTCCGCCGAAATTTTAGGGTACTCGTCTGCTACTACCCCACATAGAAAAGAAGAAAATAGAGAATTTAAGAGTCCACATTAAAAGTCTGATTATTTGAGATATTGTTAAGCAATTTCTGGTTGCCACTCCATCTAGCGAGGGTCGTCCTACACTCGAAAAGTCGTCGTTCCTACACTAGGAGTGAAGACTTGTGCCAATGTGCGGGAAGTCAATGGACGCTGGTGTTTCAGGATCGTGGCAGTCTTTGGGAGAGGCCTATGTTCACCAGTGGAATTGAACCAGCAGATAAGATGGTGATGATTATCATCAACTTTATATCCTCTTTTTCCACGCTTAATATTTTGCCTGACATCGGACCAACCATAGTTATCTTTTTATACTTCTCGAGGAAAAAGACTTCCGGCCTTATATATGGTATATTCAGTTGTGTGAGAAGCAAAACAAAAGTGAAAACCTTAAAAGCGACAACCGGTCCGATTGGATCGCCCACGCAATCCACTATTTATCGCGTCAAGGGTCGTCACAGGCTGATATTGATATTGAATGAGCCACCCATTTGTGTAGCTGGCTCGCTATAGGGTAGGTGGATCTTACGGTCGCTTCTCGAGTAGGTGCATGACTTCAAAATATGCTGGACCTAAGTGTTGGCCTGTTGGCCACGAGATAGTTTTACCTGAGTAAAAAAGTGGTAAGATAATGAGAGTAGGCAATCACTTACCTCGTACTATTTGTTATGTTTCCCCTTTACATAAAAAAATTCTGGCCATCTAAGGTTAACAAAGATTTGCGGACAGTCCTCGGTGCACGATTAAGATGTGCAATGATTTCAATATAAGCTACAAGTCATCGGTAAAAAGATTGTCATTATTTCCTTTTGATCATACCTTAAACTTTTTTGTGTTTTCGTAACCTTAAAAACTCAGTTACCCCTCAATTTTTCAAAATATTCAAAAAAATTATACTGCTTCGAATATAGAAAAAAGGGGAAATAGGTACGTAATAATTACATTTGATTCGCAGAGAATTTGACAGTAGTGACGCGATTTGATTCTGAATTGCTTTGTTTTTTTTTTGAGGAAAAAGGAGGCAAACGAGATATTATGGTAAGCGATCACCGCCGCCGAGGACACTTGCATTATCGGAGGAGTCACAACAGACCTACTACCTTAAAGACCCGCAACCTTTAAGGTAGGAGTAGGCTCTCTTCTTGAATTTCCCTACGTCGTAACGGTCCGGAAATACCACTGCAACAACCGGTTCCACAAAGTAGCTGTGCTGGGCGGAAAATCGCTTAGAATTAATCACAGCGTGACCGTTCCTGATAACATCTCCTACATATAATAGGCAACAGGCACTACGGTTATCAGTCTTTCGCGGGAAATAGGTATGTAATGTGCGTGACTTCTATCTCTTGTCACGAGGTCTGGAGCACGAGCGACAGGCGATTTAGATCAACCACTGCAAATTTGCAACCATTTTGGTGTTTAATGTGAAACTTTGTCAAGCGACCCGACGGTTTACCCGATGTCAAGTGATTCCGCCGCCCATAAAACATCTAAGAACTTGTTGATTTGAAATTTTCAAAAAATTCGGCCCCAGTTATCTCACTCGCCAGACGAAACACGAATGTATTAATTATTTCAAATTAATTTTGGTCTTCTATTGTTAAAAGCGTGCTTAATTGATAACTTTAAAAAAATATAAAGGCAGCCTTTACAGAAGAATAGTATCATCAAAATCTTATCCTTTAAACGAGCAATTCTTGTATATATATAGTACCCGGAGAACCGAGCTTTGCTTGGTGTGTTTTTTTGGTAAATCGTCTATTTTGAAAATTACATTTAGATACAAATTACTGAGTAATGAAATATGCATAATGTTTTTCGATCTTACTGACGTAACAATAAGAAAATATGAACTGATGTTTTTCACAAAAGAAAGAACTTTTTAAAAAAAAGGGAAAAAAATAACAAAATAACAAATCGACAAAAAATTAAAAATAAAGAAAGCAATGATCTGGAATCGAAAAAAAGTAAAAATATAAATGTGTAAATTATCGTGACGCGAACCACGGCCGTCTGTTTTGGGGCCGCCCGATTACCGACCGAGCTATTATGACATTTTCTCTTGCGGCGAAATTTACCGTCGTATTCGAATTATATTTTTCATTCCCTTACTTAGTAATTTGTATCTAAATGTAATTTCCAAAATACACGATTTACCAAAAAAAAAAAAACAAACCGAGCAAAGCTCGGTCCTCCGGGTACTTAGTTATTTAGAAATTAATCATAGACGTCTGATGGGTAATGAGCTAACTAAATACATAAGTTAGAAAAAGGCAATTTGATAGGTCAATTCAATTTTTTTTGCTGAAACTGAGAATGGAAAACCATTAATCTACTCCTTCCATAGCCCAAATCATATTTCATATCAAACATATTTTCCTATGACTTGTACCACTTCTTTACGGGCATTCTCCCATAACTGTCATACTCTACATCGCATAATATAAAGTATAAACACTATATTTTTTTCTTTTCGTATCGAGCACTGTGCTCGAAGATGTTGACGAGTATTTAGCTAAGACAGTTAGGAAGGTTAGGTAAGTTCAACATCGACACAGAGGTCAATTGGCGAATCCAGCTGGGATGGGCAGTATTCGGGAAACTTTGGCATCTGGCTTCTCGTCTAATATACCTCAATATTTGTAGACTGAATTCTTCAAACGATAGGTGTTGCCAGTGATGACCCAGAACTGATACTTGATCCTGCACTGCTGGCCGTATGAGTATAGCTCCATAGCTCTCTGAACGACTATACTCAGCGGGCTACGCTACGCATTTCTCTGCGGGATAGAGTTTATAATGACATCCGCAGTAGAATAAAGGTAACCGGCATAGCTCAGAAGATTACGAAGCTGATGTGGCAATGGGCCGGCTCGAATAACCAATAACCGATGGGACAGGAAGGTTCTCGAGTGACATCCTCGTATTTGCCATCATAGTGTTGTAGACGACCCTTCACTACATGGGTTGACGATTTGTGCAAGAGTACAGGTGGATCAGGATATGGCATCGAAGCTGCCTGTGAGGGAAGCATTTGTCAAGCAGTGGACAGCAGGCTGAAATGGTAGTAACGATGACTGTACTAACGAACTAGCCCGGCTTAGCACTAGAAGTACTAATTATCCAAAGAAAAATTCTTTCGAGATTATCGCTGCAAAACATCATAGGATTATCCACTGGGCTAATTTAAACGTTTCCTGAATATTTCATCAAAGTCAGTCCAGCCGTTGTAGATTACAAAAAACCGAAGAAAATTAGAAATAGATAAAAAGAATTCGCAGTTCAAATGACATAGTTTGCTACTGCTTATTTTGGTACAATATAAGAAACTTTTCAGAATCTTTCGACGCGTATGATTAAGAGCACACAATATGGTACTAATTTTTCCGTTATTATTTATAATTAATATTTTATTATTTATAATTAGATATCCATTACGTTGTAAACAAAATTTTTAAAATAGGATGGCCGATGAACCTGTACATACGCACTCAATACTTATTTATGAACGGCTTTGTTATTTTGGATACCAATTTGTGGTATACGATGTATGAATTTCGGGAAAAAATATTTTGTTTTGCAGTTAAGCATTTTTAAAGATAGTATCATGATATAAGAAGTTCAAAGAGCAAACGAACACGAGAAGTAAATAAATCACAAAAAGCAGTAATTATGCTGATGATAATAGATTAAATAGTCAATAACCCGAGTCAATAGTATATACTTCAGTATGCTATTATTGTTTAAATTTTATCATAAAAAACTATTAATATTTGACAAAGATTTTTACAAAGTTTCGCATAAAATATACCTATTTCACTCATAAAGATGCTTATAAATTTAATATAGTACAATCTACATCATGTGTTTAAGAAAAGCAAATTAAAAATTAAAATATTTTGCAACTTTCAATAGTTCGTACCCCTATCGTCAATTTCTAATGCAAAAACATGAGTAATTTTCAATTCAAAAGATTTCCCATTTGGACCGCACAAAAACCGCAGCTTCAATTTCTCTAAACACTACTCGCCCACTAATAGAAAATGTTCGTATGACACGTACCTACCTACCGGTATTAATTTACACGGCGTTTATCTTCCCGCCCAGACGCCGAACGCCCTTACACAGTTATCATTACCGCCAGCTAGGCTGTCTTGCGCCGATATAGGGTCGACATCGGCCTGGCCGACCGCAGGAAGGCTTGATAACGGGCGACCAACGTAAGTTGAGCCCGGCTTAGAATAGGATCGCCCCTGCGTGTCAAGAGCTCGCTCTTATCCGGGGGGGGTGTGGCGGCGCGGCGCGGGTGGCCGCTCTAGTAGGTACGGTCGAAGTGTGAAGAGGCTAAGAGGTGTACCGTCCCCACCGTTCCGTTGAGGGGCGGGGCCCGCGGAGGCGACACGGTCCGCCGCACCGTTACAGACCTGCTACGCTCCGGGCAGAGCTTACGCGTTCGCACGCGGCCGTCAGAGACCGCACGCGCGCCGAACTCCCCGCGTCGACTGCCAGACTGCCAGTGTTTCTGTTTCGTGGGCTTTTTCTTTTTAATTTCGTTTGCTTTTTCTAAGCGGACAGTTTTGGCTGAACTCGATAGATTGTGTTCGAAATTCAAATATGGACTTTTTTGGGTGATTCTGTCGTGTTGCAGTCTGCTCTCGTTTTAAGGTGAGTTTAATAATTGTAGCTTTATATGGATAGTCGTTGAATAGGTAATAGAACGGTTATAAATGAGAATTACAGAATTTATTCGGTATTGAATTTTAATTCATTGAAGGAAAATTTCGCGTTATGTGAATAATGACATAGTGTGGCATAAAGATACGGCAAATTTATAAAATTTATAAAATTAATCAATTTAAACTTATAATTGAATATTTTTCTTACTTTGTCTGTTTGAGAAATAAGATCTTTAGGATTCGTTTATCATTTAAAAGGATTGTTAAGGCCATCGATTTAAAAAAAAAAGATTTAAGGTACTCACCATGTTAAATAAATAAATTCAAAAATTTTGAATATCTTTTGTCAAAAAATTATGAATTAATTATTAAATTTAAGAGTGAATGTTGTTTTGCAAATTAAAATAGAAATATAAAATTAAAATATTCTTAAACGTTACACAACACGAAAATACATTATGCATATAAACTTCTTTATAAATCGCTAGTGCGTAAGAAGAAAAGACATCAACGCGCTACCGGCTACATTATTAAAACTTATTACTGTAAACATCTAAATTTAAAGGAATCGTAAAAGCTTTAATGCTGTTCCTTTTAAAGAACTGTTACGCACGAGCACTCGACCCGACGGAGACTCAATATTATTTAATCATTAAACAACATGAATATTTTAAATTTGGCAAATTTAATGTCTTGTTTCAGTGTAGGTTACTTAAGAATAAGTTTAACGCAGCATTATAATTCTACTAAAGTTCTAGAATCCTTTTTCCTTTTTTGAATTCTTATTAGATACCACATAGGCATATTTAGCGAAGGCTGCGTTCGAACCGTGTTTAAATATTTTTTATTTTTTTTTATTTTATCTCCGGTAAAAAAATTACCTACACTACTAATACTAACAATTAATCACGACACTAAATCACAAAAATGAACAGTAGCGTAGATAACAATCAGAATAATGGCCTAGGTACGTGAAGCGAATCTTCCTTTAAAGACTTGGTTACTGAAATTAGTTATTTTCGTGTATAATTTAAATGTGCAATATATATTAAGATACAAATTACTCTAAGAAACTGTCAACGTAATGAATATGCGGGTATAATTATATAAACTTACCCCTATCAAACGTCAAAGAAATAAAAATTGGCGACGATCATCTGTTCGAAATAAATCATCGGTTGCTTCATCATTGACATAATTGTAATTTTTACTGAGCTTAAACTTGATATCCGTTGAAGAAAGCTTTGCAACCAAAGCACATTTAAGTAATGGTGATTATCATAATAGTCATACTACCATTATACTCTCGAAATTTAATAAATTATCGGGCACGGACATATAAAAGTAGACAGATTGTACTAAACTAGAAGGCTAGCACTGAAAATCAGCGCTGTGTTAGGGCCTTGACTTCCGGCATAGCATAATGCTGAACTGCTAACCTAATTTATCGGAATAGGGCGTTTGCACGCTATTTATGGTTTGCTAAAGTTCTTTTTCATTTGTTTATATCTTAATTATGTATATGTGTTCTGAATTATTTATAAGTATTTTTTTTTATTTTCTTTTATTTTTTGTTAATTCTAGTTTTTCTTTCTCTTTTATTGTGTGCGTCCTTTTTTTGGTAAATAAATGTATTTTCTTTCTTTCTTTCTTTCTAAACCTAAGGCAGCGTGACGACACTTGTAGTATTTCAACCATCGCAAAATCGGCATCTATAGAGATAAATTTATATATCGCGCAATGACCACTTTCATACTTGTGCGAACGGTTGAAAAACATATTAAGAGTTTTATCGCGGCAATTTTGACCGAAATTCTCGATGTTTCGAAAACTATACCATGCACACGTGACAGCTTATCCAATAGTTTACAAAACTAGTCTATAACCATTTATTATTATATTAAATGATCTAAAACTTCAAGACTACAATTAATTGTATGAAGAAAATATACGTGAGTTACTTCAAAATAAAACGCGTATTAAAGGCACTTACCCTATTGCAAGCTTATGATGTTGAGATAGGCACATCCGATTCCCAATGCATTTTAGATAATTATCTACTAAACATTTAGTATTAAACTGCCACAAGCTCTCATTTTAAATAACAAGGATATATGATAAGAGTAGATAGGGTAACCCACGTAAGATTCAGCTTGTTTGCTTTTGTTAAGGCAATGATAATCAATTTCTCCATCTATATAACCGTCGAATATACTATCTTATTAAATATCTTATTAAGTTCTGACTACTCAGGATCTGATGTTCTTATGTAGAATTGAATTCACAAAAAAGAATATAGGTAAAAGTGGCGTGCCTTGGGGCAAACCTATGATCGACGGTGAACTACTGCAACCTTGTGATGATGATTAACTACTCAATTATACACATACTTCGCATATTACAATAGTAATTGGCATTCGAAAAACGTTTCTAACATCTCGGATTAAACCAGCAGATAATTATGTAGTACACACAAAGGGCCTCATATCAAAGTAAGACTAACATAACATTAACACCGACTTAAGTTCCTTGGACACACAGTTATATGTCACTTATTCCGCGTGGGAACATGTGAACACGTGAAAACGCTAGAACATTTGCGTGCGTTTAGCTCAAATTAAACGTGCCGCGTTCAAAGACGCCCCCATTGCTTAATGCGTTTACGGTTTAAAGGACAAGCTGTCGCGGGTACGGGTTTGTAGCTTTAGCTGGTCTTGGATAATACTGCTTCGTAAATAAATAAAACCGTAATCCAAATTATATGCAGGCGATTTTTTGTGTTTACGCTATTATTACGTATGCTTGCATAAAACTATTTTACGATTTTTGTCCAGTTTTATTTCACTTTTAATGTTTCGGAACAATTAACCTGTCCCGTAATCGTTAACACTGTAAAGATTTAAACTTCGGGAAGTTAAAAACAAAATAAAACGCGGTAAAATATATAAAATAGTTAGTGGAAAGAATAGTTATTATAGTGAAAATATATATATTCAGATTTGTAAAATCACTTACTACTGGATGGAAGCTTTCAGTGGACGGCAGCGTTCTTGCAAATTGTCTGTTGTTGTAAGTTACCACGGGTGACAGTCCTCATGAGCGAGTGGTTCTCCTGATATTATCAGATACACTGATACTTCTAGAAGTGTCATAATATTCCAATCTCTTTGAATTAAAAGCTAGTGAGACAGTGAAAACAATTTAAATACTATTTTTATATGCATACTCATGGTTTGTAAAAATTTCTCTAGAAAATTTAATAAACAATCCAAAATAGAAACTAACCACTCAATTTAAAAAAATCATATCAATGTAAATGCAACCATTTATAAGATTAAGATATTGTATTTGATTTAAATTTACATTCCCGACGTTACGAATACTTTGCTGTATTTATGTAGTAATACGTCTGTACTGTTTACTTACTACAAAAAATATTCAATGACGATTGTAAAAAAAAAATAGCTTTAAAAATTAAAATCATAATTCTAGATGACCCTTTGTACATTCCAGATATCATTATAAATAGCTCCTTACGTATGTATGATATAGTATATTTAGGCCGTATTATCGATTTAACCTATTGACAAAGTACAATTTTTGATTGAAATATAACAACAAATTATCCGTTAAAATGATTTTGCACTTATAACTTCTTAACTCTTTGATGAATCTATGCTTTGTTCGCATTAATGACAAAACGGTTCCATTTACTGCGTTTATACGCTTATAACGATTACATCATAGTAGCTTAATGAATATTTATAGTTATTCTAATTAAAAAGATTTGCATAAATGTACATATGCTGTTACCGAAATTAACGCGAGAATTATGCGATTTTTTGCTGCTAATAACAAGAATTTGTAATTGACGATAATTAAGCGTGCTAAATTTCAGAAGTGTCATAATATGCCTGTTCCGTGTTAAACTTAACACATTTTTAGTTCTCTCTATTTAATCTATGCTATGTATTCTATTTTATCTATGCTTATTTTAAACACAACTACAAAGATAGGTTGTCACTTACTCTGAAGACGCACAAAGAAACAATACAGGATAATCAAATGATTTGATTTCAAATAGGATAACTACCTTAGGGATAAATTTCATTATTAAATGAATTAATAATAAATGGCAATAATGCTTTATCTACATGTTTCTTTTTATTTATAAACCCAACCAGACGAGGAAACAAATGAAGGGTAATAATTAATAATAAAAATATATAAATAGTGCATTTATATATGTTTTTTCATTTACATATAATTAAATTATTGATTTTTTTTTAATGAGAAGATGGAAATCGTGCTGGCCATCACCTGATGTTAAGTGATAACCGCCGCCAGACACTTGTAAAATCCGTAGAGTTGCAGATGCGTCGCCGCCTTTTAAAAAAGTGGAGCCCGGTAACCTAATTCACTAGACAAAACGCAGAAGTGTAATACTTCCACTCCACGCCGGTCTTCTGTGAGGTCGAGGTACTTCCCCGGACGGACCTGCCCATTCGTGCAACAGCGAAGACTGCGCGAATAGCGTGGCCATGCCACAGTTAAATATTATTGTATTTCATATGAATACGTTTCGTGGTTAATTGTTTTTTTTTAATTTTTTTAATACATTGCCCTCATTTTAGGATATCATTATCCTGTGTTGTAAGACTGTTTTACAGACATAAATTGCACGAGGACAAACACCCAGATGCGAAATAACTATCTGTGGGTCGCACAAATAGTTGTCCCGTGTGGGGATCGAACCCACGGCCCCCAACGCCGAAGCCAATATCTTGGCAACCGCGCCACGGAGTAATTATTTTATGGATCTTATCGCCATATATTTTGATTTTAAATTAGTTACGTTTCGAAAACTTCATAACGTTCTGTAAGTCTGTCTACTTACCATTACAATTTACATGATACTTTACACTAAGTATTCGCGTAAATACAAGAGTTTAATAATTTAATTCATTTTAACTACAATAAAAACTATATTCAAAAACAATAAAAAAGCTCGGAACGGGACTGTTATAAATTATTTCAGGAATAAAGCTGAGACGCGCAGAGCTATTGCTTATTTTGCTTTGAGATCAGCTATTAAAGGGCAACCTTCACGATTTTACAGTGTTGCCACATAATATAATTGAAACCCAATGAATATTAATTAATTGTAATATGCCTACAGCCAAGTTTTTTTTTATTCGTAGTTGTTCATGCTCTTTTAAATCAACCGTTGAATTAGACACGTATATTAGTAACGTGCTTATAAGAAATATATGTTTTGAAATGTTTCACAAAAGATTCATGATTTTAG